GGAAGCGGTTGTATTAAGGAAATTCGGGTCTTGCACGGCTGATCTGTATGCAGAGGCCATTTCTCGGTCGGCTCCGACGAAGGTTGTCCCGTTATCCGAGTAGATCGACTGCGGAAGACCGCGACGAGCGCAGAAGCGAGAGAAGGCGTTTAGAAACGCCGGCGTAGAGTAATCCGCGACTAATTCAAGATGTATTGCTCGAGTCGCCAGACAGACGAAAAGTGCGATATACGCTTTACGCGCGGTAATGCCTCGACCTGCGGAGGCGCGAATTTGTACAGGTCCCGCGTAGTCGAGACCACAGTGCGCGAAACTGCGAGCTGCCGACACTCGAGGCTCTGGGAGATCTCCCATAAGTTGCGTAGGAATCGCGGCACGTTCGCGAGTACACGTGACACAGCGATGTATGACGGATTTAACAAGATTGCGAGCGCGGATTACCCAAAAATCTCGACGCAAAATATGTAACGTGAGCTGAGGTCCGGCGTGTAAGGCCCTCAAATGAGCTTGTCTCACAATGAGTTTGACTAGAGGGTGAGACGACAGGAGTATCGGGTGTCGAAAGGAGAATGGCAACGGAGCTTTGTCGATTCTCCCCCCCACGCGCAGAACTCCGTCTCGATCGAGGAACGGTCGAAGAGAGAGAAGCGAGCTTCTCATCGAGAGGGGCTGATTTTTCGCCAACGTTGTGATTTCCGTTGAAAATAATTCCTGTTGAATTCTCTTGATCCACAACGTTTTAGACATATTGCAGTCCGAAGCTGACAGAGCAAGACTTTTAGGCGCGGGAAACTGCGATACGACTGGCGGAGACGATGACGAGTTGTCGTTCCGACATGAGCGATCGCGACAAGAGTTTATAAATTTAAGAACGTAAGCGGTAACGCGAATTAACGTGGGCCACGACGAATATCGCGAAGCGAGGTCCCATTCCGGTTGAGACGTAGAACAGTATTGGGCGACAATTTTTTCCTCTAGAGTAGTGCTGGAAGGAGTTTTATCGGTCTGCGGCCATCGCTCGTTTGTGAAGCGTAACCAGGGAGGGCCACGCCACCAGAGCTCGTGCTCGAGAATCTCATCCCCGAATAATCCGCGGGAAGCGCAATCGGCCGGGTTCTCCTCGGTCGAAACGTGACGCCACTCGCCTCGGGGAAGACGCGACTGAATTTCCATTACGCGATTGGCGACGAAAGTCTTCCAGCGAGACGGATGGTTTGTCACCCACGCGCGAACGACTTCCGAATCCGTCCAGCAATACTCCGGAAAATTGAGGCAGCCGATCAATTCGCGTACGAATTCCATGAGTTGGGCGAGGAGCAGCGCGGCGAGCAATTCTAGTCGGGGAACGCTGAGTGGTTTTAGCGGCGCGACTTTTGATTTACCGATGAGGAGAGTGATAGTGACGCGACCGTCGGAAGAAACGACTTTGAGATACACTACCGCGGCGTATGCGGCGTTTGACGCATCCGCGAATCCGTGCACCTCCGCGTGACTCGTGTCGTTTCCGAAACCGCTCCATCGCGGGATCCGTAATCGGTTAATGTGCGAGAGTCGAGAGTGGATTTCATTCCACCGAGTGAGAAGGTTCGCGGAAATATTGTCGTCCCAATTTCGTGTTTCTCGCCAAAGGTTTTGCATGAAGATTTTTGCTTTGATTGTCACCGGCGTGACCCAGCCCAACGGATCGTAGAATTTGGCAATCGTTGAGAGAATAGAGCGTTTGCTTGCCGGGATGGTGTTCGCAAGCGAGACTCGAAATTCAAAAACGTCGCTCGCCGGATTCCACCCGATTCCTAGGATTTTAAGTTGCTCGTCTTGCGCGAGCTGTTTACTACACGCTAAGCCGTGATCCGCGGGATCAATATCGGCGAGAAGCTCAGGCGAATTGCTGGCCCATTTTTTCAATTCGAAGCCACCGAGTTTCAAAAGAGCGATTAACTGATCACGGGCTCTCCGTAGGAGAGTCAGGTTGTCCGCGCCGAACAATGTATCGTCGATGTAAATATTATCGCGGAGAATCGCTACCGCGAGCGGGAAGAGATGACCTTCGTCTTGAGCTAATTGTTCCAACACGCGAAGGGCGAGGAACGGCGCGCATATCATGCCGTAGGTAATTGTGAGCAATATATACACGATTATCGCGGCGAGGAGAGTCGGTTTCCAGAGAATGCGTTGGTAATTTATATCGCGAGGATCGAGTCGAATCTGTCGATACATCTTCGCGATGTCGGCAGTATACACGTAGCGATGTTTACGCCATCGCAATAGCACGGCCGTAATTTCTTTTTGCAATTTCGGACCTGCATGCAAATGTTCGTTTAACGACGTTCCGTTGGAAGTAAGGCTCGAGGCGTTAAATACGACGCGTAGATGCGTTGTCGCGCTACTTTCCCGGATCACGCCGTGATGCGGAAGATAAACGTGTTGCCCGCCCTCATCCTGTGGCGTCGCTTTTCGCATGTGTCCGAGACGTTCGTACTCCGACAAAAATTCTTTATATTCGTTTGCCAACGGCGAGTTATTTTGAAACCGATGTAGGGACGTATTCAACATTTTTTCGGCGCGGAATCTGGACGTACCGATATCGATAGGAGGGTCCTTTTTAAAGGGAAGACGCACGATATATCGCCCGTCGGAATCGCGAGAGTGAGTCGCGCGAAAATGTTCTTCACATTGTTTTTCTTGCGGAGTTAGAATTGACTGTTTTGGAAGTTCCTCGACTTCCCAAAAACGACGAAGCTCTTCCTCGAGGGAAGGCGAGCAGAAAGCATGATGCATCGAGATACGAGCGAGGGGAGACTGAGCGGAATGCATCGTCGTTGAGTGAGCGTCAGTGGCGTTAGACTTGAGGGGCCCCGATATGACCCATCCGAGAACGGAGTTCTGAGCGATAGGTTGCCCGATATCTCCTTTGCGAATACCGTCGAGAATTAGATCGCTGTACAAATCGGCTCCGATAATAATTTGAATAGGATCGGGGCTTGTCGGATCCGGATCAGCCCACGATAAATCTGTAAGATGCGAGAGCGCCGAAAGATCCGTTTGTCGTTTCGGCGTATAAGCCGTTAATTTTCCCAAAATGAGCGCGGTCGTTGTGAACGACGGAGTGAGAGTTTTGCGCGGAGAGATAGATAGCTGTGTCGCGTGACGAAAGGTTCCGGCGTGAATACCGCCGACGGCGGTGACTGAGGTCGGCATACGAATGCGTTTCGCGTGCAGAAGTTGCGCTAAATTTTCAGAAATGAATGTCATCTCCGAGCCTTGGTCGAGCAAGGCTCGGACGACCGCGTCGCGACCGGACGAGACGCGCACTGTGATCCAGGCTGTCGCTAGCAAGACCTGCGATCGCCCTCGCGAGACTTTGGAAGCGATCATCGCCGTCACCTCAGCTCTCGACTCGAGCGTGTGAGGCGACGAGCAATCCGGTGACGAGATTCCCGACGGGGTCGCTCCCGACGGGGCTGAGGAAGAAGTCGAGTCCGCGTGTAACATCGAATGATGTTTTTTATGACAGGCGCGGCAAGAATACTTGCTCGTGCAAGCTTGCGCGGAATGCTTCTCGCTGAGACAATTGAAACAACGCTTATGTTGCTTAACAACGTCCCATCGTTGACTCGAATTCTTCCCCACGAATATAGGACAAACGTTTAAGAGATGTTGCGCTTGGCACAGAGGACATTTTACGGGTGATGTCGCTGACGCAGTAGCGGCGTGAATCTTCGATGCGGAAGCGGTTTTATTTACAGACGATGTGGGCGCAAAATTTTCCAACGCTCGAACGCGCGACTGAATGAAATTACTTAAATCGTCGAACGACGGCGGAGCTTCTTTATCGCTTTCTTTGAGATTCCACGCTTTACGTGTCGTAGGATCGAGTCTCTGCGCGACGATATGAGCGAGGATATCATTCCAGAGTTCCTCCGGTTTTCTTTTCAGATTACGCAGAGATGATACCGCGACGTTCACCTTATCGTGCAAGGTCTGTAAATCGGACGCAGATTCGCGTGTCACGGCCGACAAATTGAGCAGCGTGGATAGATGTACGTGGAGAGAACGTCGCTTGTTCTCGTAGCGAGAAGTTAACGCGTGCCAGGCGATTTCGAAATTCGCTGCGGTCACTGAAATGTTCGCGATGCACTCGAGAGCTCGACCTTTTAAACAAGACGATAAAAAATGCATCCGAGCGAAATTATCCAAGTCTTTATTACTTCGAATCAACGCAGTGAACCGATCGCGAAACTGTTCCCACTCGTCGTAATTCCCATCGAAAGGGGGCAATCGAATTGACGGAAGATGCGATAACGAAAATGCGGACGCTTCCGCACGCGCGCTCGCGTTTAACACAGATTGGTTCGGACTCACGAAGGGCTCCAGCTCCTCCAGATACTCGACCATGGAGTCCATGGTGGTGTGGTAGATCTCTTCGGTGACGTCGAAGGAGTCCTCCTTGAAGTAGGTCAGCTCCAGCTGCGTCGTCGTCGTCGTAGTTTTCGTCAGCTGGTCGTGGCCGTCTTGATAGGAGCACCAGAGCTCCTTGAGCGCGGCAATTCTGGAGCGAACCTTAGCTGCCGTCATGTTGTTTCGGCCAATTTTGCGGAAGTTTTCGAGAAAGCGCTCGATCGAGCGCTGCACTCTGACCTGTCTCGACAATAAGTCAGACATCGTGTTGCGGCGGAATTTCGGCACGGTCAGCCGAGAGAGTTTCCCTCGCGTCCTTCAC